CTGCTTGGAGTCTGGCTTCTTCTTCTGCCTGGAGTCTGGCTTCTTCTGCTGCTTGGAGACTTGCATCCTCTTCTGCTTGGAGTCTGGCTTCTTCTGCCTGGAGTCTTGTTTCTTCTTCTGCCTGGAGTCTTGCCTCCTCTTCTGCTTTTAGCCTGGCTTCTTCTTCTGCTTGGAGTCTTGCCTCTACTTCTGCCTTGAGTCTGGCTTCTTCTGCTGCTTGGAGTCTAGCTTCTTCGGCTGCCTGGAGATTTGCCTCTTCTTCCGCCTTCAGCCTGGCTTCCTCTTCCGCTTGAAGTCTTGCCTCCGCTTCCGCCTTCAGCCTAGCTTCTTCTTCTGCCTGAAGTTTTCGACCTTTCAACTCCTCTTCCTCCATTTCGGCTTCTAGTCTTGCAAGTTCTTCGAGTCGGACTGATTCTTCTGCCTTGATCCTTTCTATTTCTCCTGCCCCATCTGCTATTAGTTGCGCTGTTCCTTCCGTCTCGATCGCTGCAACTTCTTCGTCAGGTCCGTCAGAAGCTTCTGCGTTGATGCCACTGTCCGATGAAGTTGCCCCGGCGCCAAAGTACATTTCTCCAATCTTATCTTCACTGGAGCGATCTCCCTTAGATGGGTTGTTCGTTTTGGCGAAGTAGACTGGAATCGACTCCGAAGCATTTTGCGATGTTGCTGATTTTGCTGTGCCCTTATCCTTTGTTTTGTCGTCTACTTCGGCCAGGACAGTTTCCACCTCCGCCAAAAGATCATCGATTCCGTCGACAAATTTCAACTTTTCAGTGATGTTTGTAGCCAGAGTCTTTTTTCCCTTCAGTTTTTTCGAAGGTGGTTTTGGTTTTTGGTCGGTCGAGGAGCTTTCCACGGACGAGTCGCTCGAATCTTCGATAGATATGCCCATTGATCTAGAACTTGTTGTGTTTCGGTCGATGGAGGAACCTGTCGCGGCTTCTGTTTGGTTGTTCTGGGGCATTCTTCGTCGCAACTCGAACGAGGTGACAAGGCCCGCGGCACCCGTGGCACCGGCTACGGCAATTCCCTTCACTCCCGTTTGGATCGTCTTCCAAACCGAGGATTCTCTCTCTGCTTTTTGTCGTTGCTCCAATTCTTTTGCAAGGGCTTCGGCCTTTCTAGCGTCGCTTTCGATCTTGGCTCGATCGGCCTTATCGATTGCTTGTCGTCGCTCCTGTTCCTGCTGTTTCTCGCGTTGCTTCTTCAGTGATGTCAACTCTTCTTGTCGCTCCTGCAGTTCGGCTTTGGCCTTCTCATTCGCTGCCACCTTTTCTTCCGCTTCACGTTTGGTTCGCTCTGCTGCTTCCAGTCGAAGTCTGGATTTTTCTCGTTGCTGCTCTCGTTTTGTTTCTTCCTGCTGTTGCTGGCGTTGCTTCTTCAGCGACGTCAATTCTTCTTGTCGCTCTCGCAGTTCGGCTTTGGCCTTCTCGTTGGCAGCTGCCTTGCGTTCTGCTTCTCGCTTGACATTTTCTGCAGCTTCCAACCTGAGCCTCGCTCGTTCTTGCTGCTGCTGCTGTATTTCCTGCTGCCGGGCAAGCTTTTGCTCTTTTTCGAGCCTTGCTTTTTCGAGAAACTTTCTGGCGGTTTCTTCTTCTTCGAGGCGACGCTGGCGTTCGGTTTCTCGCTGCCGGGCCAGCCGCTCGAGCCTCGCTTCCTCTGCTTCTTTCTCGGCGATTCTCGCTTTTTCGGCTTCGCGTTCCTTTTGCTTGGCCGCCGCCGCTTCCCGCTCCTTTTGCTCCTGCCGTTCGATCCTGAGCTGCTCGGCCGCCGCCGCCTCTCGCTCCCGCTTCTCGAGCGCGAGCCGTTCGGCCTTTGCCGCTTCTCGCTCCCTTCGTTCTTGTTGTTCGGCCCTGAGTTTTTCGTCTGCGGCGGCTTTCTCGTTCCTGGCCTCCTCTTGCTCCTGCCGCAGGCCGAGAATATCGTCTTCCTGCTGCGCTGGCACGAGAGGTGTTGTTGGCGCCAGTGTAAAGGACGACGGTGACGTCGGTGGAGCGACCCCCGTTCTGCTCTTGCTTCCCACCATGATGCTGTTGCTGCTGTCCAGATTGTTGTTGCCGTTGCTCTGGAAGTTGGCACCAAGGATGGCACCCGGATCGTTGTTCGCTACGTTGAGACCCACCACCCCGGCCACGCCAACAGCGGCAACCGCACCCAGCATGTTGTTCTTCGAGTCGAGTTTTGCCATCTGGTCGTCTATTTCTTGTTGCGTGTCTTCCGGCGTGGGTGGTTTGGGTGTCTTCTTCAGCGAAATACCACCGATCCCCCTCTTCGGGTTCTTCAACCTGTACCGACTCCCGGTTTCGGTCGTGATGACGTAACCTTTCTTGAAGAAGCTTTCTACCGGCGGCGATGCCGAAATGTGATCGCCATCGGGAAGGACGGGGTGGCCGGTAACGATTCCGGTGAGCCGTCCGCTCTCTGGGTCGATCCTCCACTTGTCGATGGTGGGTATTCCTCCGTTCTTGCGAATGTTCTCTTTGGTTGTCTTGATCGGACCCTCCGGTACCGATGGAAGCATGGGCGGTTCGGCCTTTTTCTTGTTTTTGTTGCCACCCCCAAACAGCGAGAAAGGCCCCTTGTTGACTTTCTTGGGCGTCTCTAGCTTGTATTTCGTTCCCGATAACGTCGTTACCACCGTTCCCTTCCCCTTCGCCGCAAAATCTGGATTCGAAAGCGGGCTCGTCGTGATTTTGTCGCCGTCCTGCAACACGGGATGCCCCGTTACGATCCCCGTCAGGGTTCCGTCTTTCTCCGACAACTTCCACTGGTCGATGCTGGGGACTTTCTTGCTGTTGCGGTTCGACAAGATGGACATGGCCTCCACCCTGCTAGGTATCGTCACCGTGGTGGCGAGAAGGGCTGTTGCGACCAAGACAACGACGGAAACCGGCGCTCTTGCCCACCGTCTTCGCCGCCTCCGGGATCGCAGTGCCGGTTCCATCTTCGAATTAATGTTCACGATGTTTCCACCGGGCTAGGCCAGGGAAGGCTAGGCTAGGCTAGGCTAGGCTGGGCTGGGCTAGGATATGATATGATATTATAATACGATATTGCAATTCACCAGATTCAATCGGGAAAAACTACCGCACCGTATTCCAGGTATTGTATCCTTTGTTTCTCTCCCCGCCTCCTCTCTTCGCACTGTCAAGCAGCGGATGAGTTGTTATGGGGATAGTTGTCAAACCGTAGTATGTGTTCTTTGGGAATACGAGAAACAAGCACAGCCTCGTGCGTTGCCCAGATACTTTTTGGGGGGTTGAAGAAGGCGCGACCGTAGGTGCTTCTCAAAGGTTTTGCGTTTGTGCTCTTGCGTTCGAATAGAAACGACCAATGAAAATCAGATCTTGAAAACCTCGGAACTCACGACGTCCCGTAGAGCCTCTTTATTGGACGTCTACGGTAGGTACCGTACGTACTGAGTACCGTACGGTACCTCTACTGCTGAGTAACGGAAAGGGAAGGGATCTTTTTGGGAAAAACATCATTCCATGCCGTGTGAGATGCTGTAAAGCACGGCTATCGTACGTGCCTACCGTACATTAATAATTTTACGGGAAGTTCCTCCTTGCAATGCGCGAGAATACGGTACGGTACGAGAACTGTACGGTACATCAGTTCCTCATGTAGACGTGGAAGAGAAGATGCGAATGCAGGCAGAATGCAAACATCAAAAATAGTTCGGGTGAATACGTTATCTATTAGTGTAGTGTATTATGAGTATATGGCGTACGTACCTATGGAATGTGAGAATAGAAGATGGCCATTTTTGTTGGTCATAGTCAGTTAGAGCCGATTTTGATTTTAGTCCAACCAGAATTTCGGTGAAGTACGAGAAATTTGAGTACGAGTACTGTAGTACGCAACGGTGAGGTCTAAGCATAGATAATAAGAACAATCAGGGCGTACACGTACTACTTTCATTGTTTTCTTTTGAATATTTATAATAAATGTTTCTGCAAACTTTTTAAATTCGTAAGCCTCTCACCTGTGATGCTTTCTGAAACATGCCTTTTTAAACCAAATTCAATCAAGAAAAATTGAATGACCCAATAAATATCCTTGGGCTTTCTTGGCGACATTAGTTTTTAGGACTACATTTATTGTGTTTTAAACGACATACAAAACTTCGTCAATTCCAAAACATTTATTTTACCTCCCTAAAAAATTTGTCAACCGTCCGAGTACGATTGAGAAGGAGACAATCCGATGCCCACAACACCGAAACACGGAACGAAGGAAGACGAAACTAAACGCATTACAATTCACTTTTTCAAAAAAATGCKACCATGAAGATCTCGCTTTCTGCAATAGGCATCTTTCTATCGACAGTGCAAGCGGCGCAAGTTTCCGCCGATACGCACTCTTCTATCAGAGGAAACAGTCGGAGGAGCGACAACAGAAACGGCAGGCGCCATCTCTTGAACCCAGGTTTCGAATGTACACTCTACGTAAAGACGATAGAGTTCGAAGATGGCCACAACGAAGAAACGCTGAGTTGTGAATTAGCACCCCAAACCATGGTTGCTATGGCAGCTCACGATGATCAAGGCAACCCCATCAGCTTTCCTACGGGTGTCTCCGAGATCATTGACATAGAAGGCGTCGAAAAAGAAAGAATGGAACAAATCGGAGCCATCTCGGGAGCTACCGTGATGAGACTCAGTGAAGGGTACATAGAAGAGGGAGGCCACCCGGTACTGGTGGTCCCTTCCGAAGCGACGGTCGATATCGAAAAGATATCGGACAGCGATGAACGACACTTCAGAAACCGCCACCGGAGCAGGCAGCGACACAGACAGCTCGCGAAAACAACCGGGAACCTCAAGACACTAGTATTGCGTGTAGTAGATGGGAGTGGCACTGCGCCGGAATTGAGCACCGCAAAGCTGAGAGATGACTTATTCACCGACTCACTGAGTCTAAAAACTCAATACAAAGCATGCTCCAACGGAAGAATCGATATAATAGAAAGAGGGATTGTTGATGTAAAAGTAAAAGAAATCGCACAGGTCACAAAAGTCATGTACAACGGCAGGCCTCTCGAACTTGGCAACAACTCTGAACTGGAGAAACAGGCACGAAAAATAGCTTCCAATCGTTACGCTGGCGGAGGTGATCTTAGTGCCAAATTCGATTTGGTAATCTACTGTTTGCCACCTGGGACGGGACGATGGATTGCATACGCATACATCAATGGACGGGATTCGGTGTTCAACAACAAATGGTGCGGCATGGTATCAACTCAAATGCACGAGGTTGGACACAATCTAGGCTTGGGACACTCGGGAGATGATCAGGATCAATACGGTGATCAATCGGCTATGATGGGCTACAGTTATTTTGAAGATGATGGTCCCAAAATGTGCTTCAATGCCGCCAAGAATTTCCAGCTAGGCTGGTACAAGAATCAAGAAATGAGCTACAACCCATTGGAAAATCCAGGCTCCGTAAAATTTGTTTTGACCGGAGTTGACAACGCAGTGCGTGGAAATTCTAATAAACTCGTCACGCTTCGACTGGAGGAAGACGGTATCTCGGATTACTACATCGGATACAATCGTGCATCTGGAATAAATAGTGGCACTTCCGAGGCCAAGAATCGAGTCTCCATCTTCAAAAAAGGGAAAGGAGGAGCTCTTGGGTATGGAAAATCCATCCGCGTTGCTGCTTTATCGTCGGACGAATTTTATACAGTAAAGCAGTGGAACGGAACCAATTACGATGTTAGGATTTGGGTTGCGGGGAAGGTCGGTGGAAACATCAAGGATGCGAACATAGAAATTTCTGTGCTTGGTTTGCCACCACCGACAGAAGCCCCGATTTCGATGACCCAACAACCAGACTCACCTTGTGCCGAAGAAAACCGGTTTCGTCTCGAACTAGGAATCGACTCGTTTGGATTAGAAACGTCTTGGGAATTAGTAGAAAGCATTTCCAAGACACTTATTGGGTCGGCGACGAAAGATAAGTACCAAGCTGGTCAACGCTACATCGAACCTTTTGACACCGATGGGTCGGACTATTACTGTTTAGAAGAATCTACATGCTACGACTTCATAATTTTTGACGACTACGGCGATGGCGTTTGTTGCACGAACGGAAGGGATGGATTTTTCAGAGGGATTCTAGATGGAAATGTAATCTTCGAAGGAGGAGAATTCGATACCAGCGACAGGCATACATTCTGTACTTCGGGTGACTCCGCAACGGGTTCTCCGACTCTGGCTCGTACGAAATTGCCGACTTTGGCTCGCACGAAATCGCCGACTCCGGCTCCCACGAGATCACCTACTTCGTCTCCCACGAAATCACCGACCTCATCTCCTACAAAACACCAAACTTCTGATCCTACGAAATCACCCACTTCGGCTCCTAAGAAAAAACCAACCTCTGCTCCTACAAAATCACCCTCTTTGGCTCCTGTGAAACAGCCAGTGGAAATCAATGAGATGAATAATAAAGAATGCAAGGATACTTCACAACCATTCCGTGTGAAGCGCAAAAAGAGGGTTTGCAGGTGGCTTCGAAGGAATAAAAACCTGATTAAGAGGAACTGTAAGAGGAAATCTGATCGTGGCGACAAATTATCAGATTTGTGCCCAAAGACTTGTGCAAAAGCTGGTGTTGAAACCTGCTGGTCAGTAAATATTAGAGACAAGAACCAGCAGAACAAGTCGGGAAACAGAAACTCGAATGTTAAACGAGTAAGGCGAAAGAAATTGCGAAAGGAAGTATTTGGGTCATAGAGCAAGAGTATAACTGTATTATTAGAATCTAGAATAAATGTGTATCATACTGCAGTACTCCTCCTTACTCTTTTAGGTCTTCTGAACTCATTGTAGCTAGTACTTCATTCTGCCTTATCCTGCACAACATTTTCTCGCACTTTTGGAATAAATGAAATGGATCACCAAAGCCATACTCTCATTACAATTGTATTCTATCGCCATTGATAAGAAGCAGTTATTTGCATTGGCAATAGTAGTAGTACTCAAGTACAGGTGGTAGCAAGAACAAGAAGCGACTATCACAAAGGAGAATGTTGGTGATAAACACCAAGAACAGAAGAAATGCTACTAGTACTAGTACTAATGGTATATAAAAGAAACAAATTACTAATCGCCAGTAACAGATACAAAGTAATGCATAACCTAGAAAACAGGAAGAACTTCTGACACTATTGCTACTACTAGTAGTACTTGTAGAGTAAAAACAGCAGGTTCACCAAAAAGTGAGGACCCTCCTGGAGCCCTGCCACAATCCTCAACAAGTCACTACTACTAATACTACCTAGTAATTGACTTATACTATTACTGCAACTACTACTAGTAGTACTACCAAAACAACCACCAGTACTCATAACACAACAAAAACTGGTTCTTCCAACAGGAGTTCTGCTCTTGTATTTTTTGAAAAGGACAGACCATGTGAAAGGGTGATGAACAACAAGCAGCTAAAACATTAGTGAAGAAGTACCATCATGAAACATGGTAGTATGCATTGCAGATCAATTTCAATTACATTCCAAGCAGGATTTGGAAGGTTGACTTAATGTTCCAAATGTTAGTGTTAACACTTTGTTAAGTTAACATTCCTTACATTAGCACAGTGGGCATACATATATTTAGTACTAGACCCAGTGGGGGTACACCAGCAGGTCCAGCAGCTGTTCAACAGCTTGCAAGAAAAAGCTGCAACCAAGATTGGTCGTTTCAGAGGTTAGCAGGCAGTACAAAATCTGTGTAGAAATCTTGTAGGATTCAACCAAATCAAGGGAGTAGACTGCAGAGATCAGTGAAAATCAATTGGTTTTGAGTGTGATTTCAAAATGTTTTTGCTACTGGGGCCTACTATTGTGACCTAAAAAGACCACCAGTGTGCTGATCTAAAGCGTTCTTTTCATTCATTTCAACAAACTTGGTTCATAGCAACTGACCATGGGAATTGCTCTCTTTCAAGAACTTCCACTCAACCTTAGATCTCAATCAATAGCCCACTGCAATTGCTGATTTTAAGCACCTTGAATTGTACTACCAGTAGTAGTAGTCTAGTAGTAGTAGTAGTAGTAGTAGTAGTGATACTTATACCTATACTAGTACTATTGTCTATGTGCCTTCAACTATTCTTTGTGTCTCGCATACTTCTGATCCAATTGCTTCAGTCTTTCATTGATAGAAAACTTCTTTGCTCTCTTCCTTGGTCTACTCTTAGACACTGCTGCTGCTTTTGCTGCTGGTGTCTTTGCTACTCTTCCTGCCACTCATTTTGGTTGCTTCCTTGCTGCTAGTGGGGGAGGCTTCTTTCTTGCTGTTGTTGTTGGTGGTGTGTGTGTGGGGGGGTTCCTTACTGATTGCAACCAAATAGGTACTGGTAAATAAGTATCTCCAGGTATCAATTCTACTGCTGCTACTGGTGGTATCCAAGCTGGCATGATACTGCTAGCAGTTGGCATCTGAGAAAAGACTGGCATCCTATCTTGCATTCTTGCATTGCCATCCTGAAGCTTCAAAGTTTTAATCATGGCTTCAATGGTATCCAATACGTTGCCCCCAAAGCGATTTTTGAAATCCTCCATGAGAGTCTTCAATTCAGCAACAAATCAGTGCAAGAGGAATGCAGCAGTTGATTCATCTGATCTAAAGCCAACTGAGTGGCATGACTGTCATGCTCAACAGTTGCCAAATAAAAGAGGATCTGCTGTCTAAATGTTCTATAAAACTGGTGGAGGGTCTCATCCCTCTCTGGAGGTCTGAAATCAATAGGGTGTGTAATAAGGATGAATATTTCTAGCCTGGAGAGGATTACGCTCCCCCTACTCCTTCTAGTCACTAGCTACTGTCAGCAAATTCAATCAATTGCTGAGCTGCCTGCTGGATATCCTATCCAGCAGCAGTCCTTTGCTCATACACAAGAGTGGCATACTTTGTTGGCAATGATATGACTAGACCCCTGATGTCCCCAAGAAGAGCATTCCTGTGGCCTCTATCACTGTAGTTTTGATTACTGTAGTGCCTTGGATTGTGCCTATCACTAGCAGAAAAAGAGACTGGACTGGGCTCTTGAATAGGGGCTTGGCCAGACTGTTGAACTGACTGCCAAGTTGGTCTGTGTTCTCCTTGCTCCAYTGAACATGTCCTTGCTGAAGTAACCTGAACGACATGCATCTCCAGGACCAACATCAACATCCTTCAACTTCAATCTCCTCTGCTACAAGCATCTCAAGTTCATCTTCCCCTACTAGCACCACAACACCCTGTCCAACACAGGTTACCTTTTTCAGTGACAACAAAGTGCTCCTGACTAGACTCCAATCCAGAAGTGAATACAAAGAAGTCTACGCCAATGCTACTCTAGCACCAGAATTTGACTTGATTGAACAGATCTTTCAAACCGTTCAGTSTYCACACATCACTTGCTCCTTCTCTTGGGTGAAAGGTCACCAAGATGACAACATTGCTTTTGATCAATTCCTCTGCCAGCCCAACTGAATGTAGAGGCTGATAGTTATGCTGGGGATTTTCAGGCTCAAATGGATCAACCGAATTTCATCACCCCAGTTTTGCCTTCATGTCCTGCTGTGCTTCAGATCCAATCASGCTCTGTCACCAGCCAATACAAGAGAGCTCTCACAGATTCATGTCTGATCCCCCGATATCACGCATACTTGACAGAGAAAAACCAGTGGACCCGTTCTTGCCAACATTGCATGGAAGTCCCTGAGCATTGCCATAAACCGCATCTCCAGGAATGTTTTGGTCACTAAATGTTGCAACAATATTCTGCCCACTGCCACTGTTCTCAAAAGATGGAAATACCAAACCCATGATACTTGCTGTCTCTGTCTGATGCCTGAAGATTGTGAGCATCTCTTTCGATGTTCTCATCCATCAYKAMTACGATGGAGAAGGCAGACCATTACATCTTTACGACAACGSATGTCCACACTCGGCTTCAAGCCAATTGCCATTGACACTCTTGCTACTTGTCTTACCGAATGGCTAGACACTGGCGAAGTTTCTCCAGCAAAATATCCTTCATCACTCCATCCAGTCATTCATTTCCAGAGCGAGATCGGGTGGCACCACATGTTTACCGGTCACATTTCGCTTCAGTGGTTTACCGATCTTGATCTTCATTCTGGCTCCTATTCCCCAATAGTGCTGGGGGGTCATCTTGTGGAATTCTTGATTACCTCATATATCAATGTGGGAACAACAAAACAAAGATCTTCATGGCTACACAATTACCCAGAAGCAAGCCAAGCATCGACAG